GGATCATGACCTGAGCCGAAGGTAGTCGCTTAACCAACTGAGCCACCCAAGCGCCCATAAATGAAATCTTTTTAAAAAATAAAAAAAAAAAAAGTTTTGGTTCATGTGTTGCATATGCACTGGGGTTTCTCATTAAAATCACATTAAAGAGGGGTTTAAAACCATTTCCTGGGCCTCTGGAAGTCCTCATTCAGTTTGGGTTTGGGACGGGAGGGACTCTGTTTTTTAATGAGCCTTAAGGTGCTTCTGATGTTGTCTTGTACCAGCAGAGGAGTTAGTCTTTGTGATGTCCAAGATTGAATGCCACTGTTGGTCATAGGACATTCTGCAAGATTTGATTTTACCCTTGGGCAAAAAAAGCAAATACTTAAAAATTTTCAGGGAAGCCACATTTTTTTCTGTGGCATTTATATTTCTTAAGCTCTTTGCCTACCCCAGCAAGATGTGGCCCTGTCTTTGAGGAGGTTTTCTGACCATAACTCAGATTTTCACTGAGATTCAGAGGGAAAAAGTTTGCTTTTCTGTAATATATTTGGCTTGATTTGCCTTTTTCCTCCGTGGTTACCTTCATTTCTCTTCAAATCAGCTGGATATGACTGGCAGAATAAAGAATAGAGGGCATTGTTTTTAATATAAATAGGCTAAACATTACATGGCAGAGCTGAAGAGCTAGCGGATTATATGTCTTCTCTTGATTTACCATTGTCCTGCTGTAGCTTTTTGCTTAGTTTGACCCTTAACCTCTAACACAGTAATCTCAACAAAGTTGGAATTTCTCCAGAAAACAAGAAGGAGGTGGAGAAGAAAGTGGCTGTGAAACCCATAGAAACCAAGAACAAGTTCTCCCAGGCAAAGCTGTTGGCAGGAGCTGTGAAACATAAGAGGTCAGCCAGCACTCACACGACTCCAGTCTCCCTCTGACTGTGTACTCTGAAATGCCACTTGTAATGGTGGCCTGAGCAAACGGTTACCTAAGCGGCAGTCTTGGTGACGTTTCTTTGGTAGCCCTACCTCTCTCTCCCCCTCCAGATTTGGTGTCTTCTGTAGTCTTTGAGCCTTGTCTCTCTGATTATTCGTTCAACAGAATAATAGCTACTCTTCATTGGGCACCTGTCATGCGGCAGGCATTGTGTTAAGTGCTTTCCATTGTGTTAATGATCTTACTCTTTCCACAAGTCTACACAGTACAAGTTTGATTGGTTGAGAACCTTTGTCCAAGGTCACAAATAAGGAAAAGTGGATTTCAATATTTGAGCATCTGTTTCTAGGCAGAGGAGGGTAGCGAGTTGTGTGAAGGGATTTGGGTAGGGTCTTACGGGAGCAGGGAGGAGGAAACCCATAGCTCCCTGGAGAGGGCCTGTGAGCTCAGGTTGGGGAAGGTAGGGAAGGCAGTAGAGGGAGATGTTGATCAGGTAGATGACTAGGGCTTTGATAGGCAGACAAGGGAGACAACGTCCCGGGCAACGGGAGCCGTTGCTGCAAAGGCACTGTGGCCTTTGAGACCGTGGAAGCTGTGACCGTGGCACAGACCTGACTGGGTTCCTTGCTGATTGATGTGGGGTGGCAGCACTGCCTAGAGGTTTTGATAAGTCCTGTCTTAGGTTCCTCCCCTGCTAAATCCTGAAATGGTGCCAAAGTGATGAAATCTGGTCTTTTCAACTTGACCATACCATGGACGAAATAATGTTAAGTGTGAGTGCAGTCTATTAGGAAAATCAATATGGCATATTGGCAACCAGGCACGTGTTTTCAAGGGAGAGCGTTGATGCACTCCTCTGGTTTGTGCACCATCCATCTGCTGTAGATGTTCCTAGGAACACTGCTTACATATAAAAATGTTGTCATGGTTTAGCAGTGGAGGGGAGGAGTAGCAGTAACCTGAAAAGGGCCAGTTAACGTGAGCCATGGATTATTCCTTTCAAGTTTTTTTGGGGGGGGGGCAGTGGGCAGAGGGAGAGGCAGGGGGAGAGAGAATGTTAAGCAGGCTCCACGCCCAGCGGGGAGCCTGATGCGGGGCTCCATCTCTCAACCCTGAGACCATGACCTGAGCTGAAATCAAGTCAGATGCTTAACTGACTGAGCCACCCAGGTGCCCCTATTCCTTTTAAGTTCACAGAAGCTTTCATGCCTGGCCCAGTGTCTTTTAGGACTTGGTCCTGGGTCAGTTCTATTGGACTTCACCAAGAAAGGGCTCTCTAGGTGGGCACTTAGATACTTCTCGGCAGTGTCTTGCTGCTAGCAGAATGGACGTTATAACTGCCTCCCTTACTTAGTCCTTAGCTCACCTTTTATTAGATCATCATTTATTGTTGTTTTGTGTGGCAAGATGCTAAATGAGTCTCCTGGGGCAGGCGTTCCTCATCTAGCCAGGCCTGGGTTTATTAGAATCACCCGGGACTTTGTTAATGTGGATTCTAGGCCTCTCACTAATTCTGGTTCATTAAGCTTGAAGTGAGGTCTTGGAGTCTAATCTTTCAAGTTGCATGGATGATTCTGGTGCTTGTGAAAGAAAGTCTGATGCCTGGTGTGTGCTTAGGACACGATCAACATGACTGAGCCTACCTCTGTGCTCTCTCTCCCTGCCATCTCCCTGCCCTCTCTCCCTGCCATCCTCACCCCATGCTTCCAAATCTGCTTGATCATTCTTCTGCATGTCTTTACTTTTAGCAGTTTCGGGGTGTGTGTGTGTGGGGGGGGTTGTTTGTGTTTGGTTTGGTTTTGGCTACCTATATAGGTATCCCTAAACAGTAGAATAGCTTGCTTGGTTTTGAACTTTATAAAAATGATTTCATTCTGTATATGATCTATGAATTTGGTTTTTCACTCAAATTGTTTCTGTGATTGAAACAATTTTGTGTGTGTATTCATGTATATATAGCTGTAATTCATTCATTTTCCTTGTCGTATAATGGTGCTTTATATGAGATACCAAAATGTGTCTGTTCTCTTGTGGATGCATGTTTGAACTATGACAAATGGTGTCAAGAGGTTTAGGGCATGCTTTGTTATGTATGTGCCAATGTTTCTCCAGAGCTCTGCTGTCCAGTATGTAGCCCTTGGCCACCTGTGGCTATCTAAATTTAAATTAATTAGAACTTAAATTTAAAATCCAGGTCCTTAGCCACACTAGTCACATTTCAAGTGTTAATGTGGCTAATTGCTGCCCTACTGGACAGCACAGATACAGCGATATAGAGTGATTTTGTAAAATACTGTCTCCTTGTGGTCTTAATTTGCATTTCCTGTTAACTGACATATTTTATAAGTTGATTTGCCATTCATGCGTCCTATTATGTGGAAGGTCTGTTCATATATTTTGCCATTTTTCTACTGGGTTATTTGTATTTTCTTTCCTTTTTTTTTTTTATTTGTATTTTTCTTAATGATTTGTGGGTTTGTTTGTTTTTTTAAATATGGTTCTGACTTTTTTCCCCACAGTTTATAGCTTTTCTTTTTACCTTCATTAATTAATTTTAAGGTGGTCAAATATATTTGATTTTAAGGTGGTCAGTTTTTTGTTTTTGTTTTGTTTTTTAAGTAGGCTCCACTCCCAGCATGGAGCCCAACGTGGGTCTCAAACTCACAACCCTGAGATCAAGACCTGAACTGAGATCAGGAGTCGGATGTTTAACCAGCTGAGCCATCCAGGGCCCCAAAAGCTAATTTTCTAGCAACATTTACTAAATATTTCTACCTTTCCCCAGTGACCTTCAGTGTCACCTCTGTCTTAAAACAAGTTCCCAAGATCCATGGGTTTGTTTGGGAGTTCTTTGTTTTCTGTTCCTTGGATCTGTTGGACCAATACCACTCTGTGTAATTATTGTAGCTGTATAAAAAATCTTGGTATCTGGTAGGACAAGTCCACTTACATTTTTCTTAGGGATGTCTTGTCTACTGTTGGCCACTTTGTTCTTCCATATACATTTTAGATTTAGATACATTTAAATTTTAGATGTAGATTTTAGATTAAGTTCTTTAAGTTTATTGGAATCTTACTAAATGGCTTGATAAATTTATGGAGAGAACAGATCTTTGTGGGTGTGAGTCTTTCTACACATGGCATATATCTACATTTATTTGTTTCTTTAATGTCATTCAGTAAAGTCTTACAGATTTTTTCCAAAAGGTTGTGCATATCTTTTGTTAGATTTATTCCTAGGTGTTTTAGATTTTTTTGTTGTTGTTGCTGGTTTGTAAAAGTGCAATTGATTTTGGAGTATTTACATCTAGCCACTCAGCTCTTACTAACCTTAACAATACTCTTTAATAACTCTTCCTAACTTTTATTAGTGGATTCCTTTGAAATTTCTGTGTAGAGAGTCGCTATCTGTGAATAATGACAGCTTTATTCTCTTATACCTTTTAATTTCTTTTTTTTAAGATTTTTTTATTTATTTGATAGAGAGCACAGAGGGAACGGAAGAGAGAGAATCAGACTCCCCACTGAGCAGGGAGCCCGATGCGGGGCTTGATCCCAGAATCCTGGGATCATGAGCTGAAGGCAGATGCTTAACTGACTGAGCCACCCAGGCGCCCCTGATTTTTTTTTTCGTTCTTACTGCACCAAGCAGTGACCACCAATAAAATGTTAGAAACAATTACTATGCACATCTTTGTTTTAAACAGAACATTTATAACTTTTCATCATTAAGAATAGTATCTATTGTTTTTGTTTTTTTCAGATAACTTTTAGCAGTTTAAGGAAGTTATGTTCTTAGTTTGATAAGGTTTTTTTGTAGCCATAAATTTTTAAATTTTGTCCATTTTTTTCTATTTTTGAATTGATGAAATTTTTTTTTTCTTACTCTGTTATGGTGAAAAATTAAGGATTTTTCTAATGTATTCCTGTGATAAAACTAGGTTGGCTGTGATGTATTTAAAATTTTTTTTAATTGAAGTATAATTAACATACAGTGTTATTAGTTTCAGATGTACAACATGATTCAACAATTCTGTACATTACTCAGTGCTCACTATAAGTGTAGTTACCAAACATTATTACAGTCTTACTAACTATATCCCCTATGCTGTGCTGTATTATAATTATTTTTAACTCCACTGGATTTGGTTTGCTAATATTTTGTATAGGTTGTTGGATCTGTGTTCATAAGTAAGACTTGGTCTGTTTCTCCCCGCCCCCACTTTTTCTGATTTTGATGTGAAGTTTCAAAGTAGCTTCATAGAAGGATTTAGGGAGTGTTCTGTCTTCTTCTGTTCTCTGGAGGAGTTTGTGTAAGATGGTAATGTTCTGTTTCGTGAAAATTTAGTAGAACTCCTCTATATAATCATTTTGGTCCTGCTTTTTTAAAATTTGTGATTATAGGGCTATTTAAGTTTCTTCATGTTTTTGTTTAGTCTGTTTTATTTAGTTATATTTTCTGGGAATTTGTCCATTTTGTCTTATTTCAAATGCATTCGCTAAAGTTGTTAGTATTTTTTATTTTTCTGACTGCTGCTATATCTATAATTGTCCCCTTTTCATCCCAAATATTGATGGATGATTATTTTATTCTGATTTTGGTTAGTTTCTTCATTTCTCCTACCTTCTTTCTTTGGGATATTCTTTACTTCCCTCAAGTTTATTCTTTTATAATTTCTGTTACAAATGAGTGTCAGATACCTAGCTAATTAATTTTCCTCTTTTCTTTTCAATTAGACACCTAAAACTGTAATTCTTCCTCAGGTTTTACTGTACACAATTTTGTATTTCCAATGAAATATTTTTATTTTTTATTTTATTTTATTTTTTTTAAAGATTTTATTTATTTATTTATTAGAGAGAGAATGAGAGCACAAGAGGGAAGAGGGTCAGAGGGAGAAGCAGACCCCCCGCTGAGCAGGGAGCCCGATGCGGGACTCGATCCCGGGGCTCCAGGATCATGACCTGAGCTGAAGGCAGTCGCTTAACCAACTGAGCCACCCAGGCGCCCCCCAACTAAATATTTTTAAATATCCGTTATGATTTCTTCTTTGACTCTTAAATTAGAAACATTTTTTAAAGTTTCCAAACATACTGAGGTAGCTTAACTATATTTCATAGGTTCTAAGATGAACCTTCCCCCCCAACACACATTTTAACACCTTATAATCGGTGGTTTCTTAGAGTCTGATATATTTGTCTTTTGTTGTTGATTTCTACCTTAATTGCATTGTGGTTTATATGTACTGATTTTGAAATTGCTTTAAACTCGCTTTGTGACCTATTCCTGAGGTTAATTTTTGTGAATGTTCAAAGTGAGCTTGAGGAGAATCATGTTTGTAATTGTTATGGGTTCTATATAGGTACAACCAAAGAAGTTTGTTAATTTTATTGTTTAAATCTTCTGTGTTTTTATATCTTTTTCTGCTTGCTCTGTAAGTACTTGAGTATTTTGAAATCTCCCATTATAGTGATGTTTTCTTGATTTTTCTTCAAAATTCTGTTGAATATTTATTTTAAGCTCTCTAATTAGAAGCGTGCATGTTCAGAATTGTTATTTCTTCAT